TTTTTTTTTTTTTGACTTCCTTTTTCAACATATTTCTTTCCTTCCATTTGCATCCGTTCTTCCATACTTTCTTTCTTACTTTCTGCTTCGTATCCTCCATTCGCTGTATTTTTCTAGCTCTCGTTTTGACTGTCTAAACCACTTCTTTATATTGCTTGACTTGATTTTACAGCTTTACCTTCGATCTCTAATRGCAAAGCAAACTGGAATAATTAGTACCATTTCGAGGCTAATGACTTTAAGGTTTAAGTCAAAGGGGATGAGTAACGTTTTTTGATTTTCGTAACTTTCATTACTGATGATAAAGTAATGGCTTTATATACAAGTTCGCCGTTCAACATTTCTCTAGTTATTCCAAGCATATGTAATGGCCAGTGGAAAAGAGAGTTACTGGGATCTTTGCTCTCGTGTTCACCGTTCATGATAGTAGCCGGCGTAAGGAATCGATTGCTAAAAACCTTTCAACAGTGGCATTAACTCGTAGAGCAGAGCCGATTAAAAACACTTGCCTATGCGCTATTACAGTCGGTGATCCCATGAAATATAAATATGGATTGATTGCTGATTTTTTCTCAGCTTTTCAGATAAGATGGATACGAATTACCGAAAGATGAGAAGAGCCACGCATTCTCTTTCAGAGTATCCAGGAAGAGTTGAAACGACCTGGGCAATGAATAAGACTGAGGGARCATTTCAAAAACGGAAGTTACGAAWAACTTACTCCAATCCCGAAGGATATGCGTTGGAGAGTAAAACGAAGCAAGACGAAGGTTTTGGGTATATCAACCCTGAACCTGATACGTGTAGGCGCAGTTCATCAGAATCCAGTACAGTGGAAGTAGAATGCCAGCAGCCATCACTGTCGTACTTTGCTTACCTTGGAGACGAGCGTAATCGCCACCGAAAACAGTTTTATGAAGTCTACCACAGCATCTCTAGGAGGAACTCCATCAAGCCAATTCAGAACTTACTGATGATTCAAGAGAATGTCAATGGGAGCCCGACACAGACGCAGCTAGCGAACGAATTGACCGTCATGGAGGCTAAAGTTGATGTTATATCTGTCAGTGAATTCCAGTACACAAAAGCCATAGACTTTTGTACGYGCATGTGCTGTGTCCGTGGTTTGATCTACCACTTGACTAAAGATAGTGACAGCGAAGGRAACATGGAGTTGTGTTGTTGTGCTGAACCAAGTACGAACTGTCTAATTCAGTGGTCAATGATCGGTGTTCTTACAATCTTCATGCCATGTTTGCTACTGTATCCCTTTTTTAAGGGGGGCTTTAAAATCTATAAACATTTCAAGCGAARTCTGAAAAAGAAAGAAAAAATAGAGAAGATTGTACATTGTAAAAAGTAAACTATCTTGTGATTTTTTTCTTTATTTTTATTTTAATCCAGAGCGGGGAAAGTTGAGAACCCGGTAGAGAACCCGGTAGAGAACCCGGTAGAGAACCCGGTAGAGAACCCGGTAGAGAACCCGGTAGAGAACGCGGTAGAGAACGCGGTAGAGAACCCGGTGAAAAACTAAAAATCGCAGCAATAAAAAATTTTCTAGTCGTCAATTGTCAGGTGCAGCCGACATTAGAAAAAACATCTGTCTAGCCTACGTCTGTGATTGGCTAAAACTGAAACAATAGGCATGCAGGCACATGTTGAAATCGTTTCATTCTTAATAAAAATGAAAAATGCATACTGAATTCGAAATACCGAGGAAATTCGGAAAAAATAACAAGACCCGTTATTACGAAGCCATAAGCGACTTATATAGAGGATTTTGATAATTCGTTCTTGTTGGCAGTATTTTTAGTAATCATTACCTATCGTAATTATATTAT